AATATTTAAATCATTTTCATTCGCATATTGTTATGGCCTCTTTTAAACCACAACCACGTAATTGTAATTTTATAAGCAATGCAACAAATACACACAATTAGTGGTCCAAGAAGAAAACAAACCTAGCAACATTAATATTGTCCAAAAGATGCATTAAGGGTCAATATTGTCACTAAAAAAAATAAGATTATACACGTCAAAAGTGTAAGAAAATGACTCATACTTCCTCATTCAACCTTTTTTCAAATTGAAATCTATAAAGCCAAAAGGAAAACTGCTGGTAAGAGTCATCATCTTGTTCAGTTATGATTCTCAACTCCCACAATCATATCATATAATTATAGTACATAATATTAATGTCCGTTGTTTATATATATATGTTACACCCTCCACTATAATTATTCCTATATAAGAAATAAAAACTTAAGAAGCATGGCTTATAAACTTCCTATATAAAATTTTCACCAATAATCTATTAGTTCCTATATACAAATAATAATGGAACTGATAGACATGGTTGTGCTTAGAATTTGGGAAGAGTATGATGCTTATGGCTCTTGATCATATGATGATTACTCGGCTTTTGTCGAAAATCCACAGTTTGTTTGTTCTTTCAACATTTGTCTCTTGGCATCTATGATGGGAAGCTATTAGATGACGAGGAAGAGGAAGAGGACGTACGTAAGATATGTGAGGAAAGCTAAGGTTAAGAGATAAGTGATGAAAAACCAAGCAAGCCGGCAAGTCAATATAATGGCATTTTTGGGCTATTTCAAGTTAATTGTTTTGTATGTTTTGATCTTGTTGTATATTAATTATGTGTGCATCTTTTTTTGTGATGTGTAAAATTTGTTGTTTGTGTTTTTACTTGTTAAAAAGAAATGTAAGCTACGATTGATTGTTGTCGAGTTTACAACTTTATGTGTGTAATTTGAGTTTGTTTAATTGTTAATAATATTGTGGTAGTCTCATTTGTTTGTTTGTTTTATTTAATTTTATTTTTTTAAAAAAAAAAATATAGACCATATTTTCCAGCAATAGGAGGAACCTAATTATTGAAATTGGTGTAATTTCAATCTGCACTTCTAGTTTTCCTTTTTACACCAAACTTGTGAAAGTTGAATATCAAAAAAATGTATGCACATATAACCTACTCCGTGAATGAATTGGTATAATTAGTTTACAAGATTTGTTGTTGATCTCTTTCCTCTTAATTTATTTAATCGGATTTTAACTTTACTATTGCTATAAAAAAAATGATCAGCATGGTTTTGAAAGGTACATGGATGCCTTTTCCAATTTTGATCATACAAGACATTTCCAAAAATTAATTGATTAATCATGTTTATTAGCCAACTAATTATTCTTTCATCTATCTCTTCCTAGAAGTGCACTCTACTTCATCTTTGTGGACATTTAGTGATTACATATCATTTTGGAAACCAATTCAAGCAAACTGATGATATAATAGATTGACATAGTTTCGTTTGTGGTGAGACAAATCATGCACTAATGAAACACACTTCTTATTTTTCTTACAATAAGTGAAATAAATAAAGGTTAAGTCTCTAACAATAGGAAGAAATACACTTTGATAACGAGCAAGCAAAATTGGTCTTGGAAGAATCACAGTAGAATTTAAATATATACTTAACATATTCATATGAAAATCGTTTTTTTTTTTTTTTTTTTTTTTTTTTAAATTAGAAAATTTAGAAACCTAGGAGGTTAATAAAAACATCAAAAAAAAAAAAAAAAAAAAAGAGGAGAGAGAGAAATTATAATCTTCTTGATTGACACGAAAATACTAGTTCATAGTAAAACTAATAGAAAACCATTGCTCTACATCGTTATAGTGGAATATGAAAGGTGAAATCAAGCAATAATCAAAAAACATTTTTAAGGAAATATTAAAAATCAAGTAATAGCCAAGAGACATCCAACTATATTGTACTACTCTACGTTTTTACTTACATGATATTTTTTTATCACTAGGGATCACGTGTTATGGCTAGTCTTTAAAAAGAGTTTTTATAATTGGTCCTAATATATTTACATATAAATATTTGCATGGTATTTTATTATAAATATATGCATATAGACGATAAATGTATTAGATGTTGTATAACCGTGCAATATTCTTCGAAATTTTAGTAGAGTTAATTTAAATTTAGTGAGGAAGTGACAGAAATTATTATCAAGTTCTAGAAATGTAAATGTTTGATATACTTCTAATTTTTTATATTTTTTGAAGGCTGATATACTACTACCTAGGAGTACTTATTAGGGAAATGTATTAATAAGAAGAAAAAAAAAAGAGCTTCTCAAATTTATAAATGGGGGCAAATATGTAAACAAACATTTTTATGTAAGAAAAATAGAGCTTTTTAAACTTATAAATGGGGGCAAATATGTAAACAAACATTTTTAGGGGTATAAACGTCCGCACACTATTCATAAGAGCTCTATCATACTTTTTGAAAGGTAGGGCAGACTAAAATTTAATTAGGGAATGTAAGGTGGATCTTGGATGGCCAATTAACCATATTGGTATAAAAATTAGCACCCTAGTGACATTGGTATAAAAATTAGCGTCGGCGACATATTGGTATAAAAGTTAATAAGTGGCGACAGTTTGGTATAAAAGTTAACCAAGTGGTGACATATTGGTATAAAAGTTAACGAATAACGACATATTGGTATAAAAAATAGCGAATGCTGACATTTAACCCTTTTTCTAACCTGAATAATAAGCGCGTATTGTACACACGATCTATTCTTATTTTTGTAACTTTATTCTATTTTTTTTTTTGGTACTTTCTTTGCTTCAAATATTCACTGAATATCTTTTTGACACTATTAAAAGCCAAATAAAACAAAAGAATTAAAAAGAAGAGAAAAGGGAGGAAATATGAGAATATAAGATTATGTGTAGTAAGAATTAATAATTAAGAAAAATTACAAGATAAGCTTTGATTATATATTTCGGTATTACATTGAGCTTTCAATTTTTTGCAATATGCAATATTATTCCCTAATTTGCTCCCAACTTCTTAATTATTACAATTAACATGTCAATTTTAACTTTTGAGACAATTAAACAATAAGAATTTATCTTTCTATTCGTTTTTTGAGATTTTTATTTAAGCTTACATTTTTTTTGTTATCATTTGCCAATAATCTTAGTTGCATGGGCTTTGAGGAGAGAATTATTTGTCATTAAATAAGTATTAACAAAAACAAAAATATTTCAAAAATTAAAACTAAAATAATAATTAAACACTTGCTCCGGCAAGAAAAATAGGGTTAAATGTCAAATCCATTAACTTATATACCAATTTGTCGCCGGTACTAATTTTTATACCAATATGTCACTAAGGTGCTAACTTTTATACCAATATGGTCAATTAGCTGATCTTGGATGAGTAAGAAGTGTGTTATGGATGCCCAAATAGTTGTGGAATAAGATGTCACTAAGACACAAGAAAAAAGAATAGAATAAAGTTATAAGAATAAAAATAAATCATGTGTACAATATGTACTTATTATTCTGGTTAGAAAAAAAGGGTTAAATGTTGTTACTCACTGACTTTTATACCAATATGTCGTCATTTGTTAACTTTTATACCAATATGTCGCCACTTGATTGACTTTTATACTAATCCGTCACCACTTACTAACTTTTATACCAATATGTCGCAGACGATAATTTTTATATCAATGTCACAACGGTGCTAATTTTTATATAATAAAGTTAATTGGCCTTAAATTTTGCATCCGAATGAGGATGAATATTATATCGACCTATCAATAATGGGGCAAGGATAGAGATAGAGGGACAAACATTCCCATGAACCCCAAGCCTTAACAATATGAGATTCCTAGTTTGATGTTTTTTTTTTTTAATTTTTAATTTTTTTTTTTACAAATAGTTTGATGTTAATCATGTATTCCGTATTAAATTTTTAAATAACTTTTGATAAGGTAATCATGTACAATTGTACAGTATACATGTTACTAAAATTAAAAAAGTGACCTTTTGGGCTTGAATTAATATTTGATACGGAGTACTTATTTCTGTATAGAATGTCAATTTGACAATTTGTCAAAACTTTCTGAAGTGGCTCTCTAAACTGATGGGCTTTTCATGTTTGCAAATATAAGAAAAATCCTATTCATTTTCCAAGATGTAGATTTTGGGCAAATATTTTGCCAAGACAGATATTAATATACCGTATGACCAATATTATATAGTAAAAAAAATTAAGTCGATATATTAATTACGGGACAAAGTATTTATATATACATACCAGTGAGCGATTTACAATTACGTAGTATTTAATGCCATATATGATACTCCATACGATCTTTCATGGATATCATCTATCACTGTATGATAATGATTCATATATGTTATCACTCAATTAACAAGATATCAATAGGTTAGTGAAAGAAATTTTAGAGATTGTGGGAACTTTCCTAAGTCATAAGGACTAATTATAAAGAATAGAGTGACGATCATTGTAATCAAGTCGGTTTATATTTGGAGTAGTTCATGTGCTAACATCTGATGACTGAATCATTTTCTAATGCAACTCACGAGGGAAATTAAACCAACCCTTATTCCATACTTATACCAAAGATCCGATATCAAATTTCATATACCTGTATATCATTTGCACAATTAGAAAAAAGATTATACAACTAATCATAAACCTCGTAGGAAATTATAAGAAAGTGCACATTATCTGTTACTTTGGTTGACAAAAACATGAGAATTTGTAATATAAAAAAAGCTTTATTTTCTAGTTCCAACATGATATAAGACAAATATTTTTTTAAAAGTAACATTCTTTTGGGAATAAATTTGGCTCAGAAATGAAATTACAGGTATGAAAAAAAATTATTGGGCAATTTGTATACTCAAGTTCAATCAAACTTAGCTAAGCATTTAGTAAATTTGTTTGTCCTAATCATTAATTAAGTTTTGAATCGTATAGGAAACATAAAAACAAACATATGATAGATGAACAAGGTTATAGTACAAAAAATGATCAAAATCGCAAGTGCCATTATCTCACCTAGTTCCAATAGCTCAGTCATTGGTACTTCTGATCTGTTAATGAAATTAGATGGAGTAAGTAATAAAATTGTGCTGTTGAGAAGGTTTAAGATAGGATAACAACAACAATTTACGTAAATATATGTGGATATATTGTTCTCTCTTGATAATTATTGTGAAATTACTTTATTATAAAGGATCTTGCTAACGAACGTCCCCCGGGCGTTAGATAAGCATTTAAAATATCTTGAAAAGTGGTGTTAATTTGGGAATACATGACAATCACACGTTGATCGGTGTAATTAATGCTCATTTTAGTTTAATATTTCTATTTTTAGCTAGCTTAGGGCGTTCGTTAACTTTTCCTATTATAAAAGGATTATGCAGAATCATAAAAATCATCCTTATCGCTACAACAAATTGTCGAATTACCTATCCAAAAAGGTTCTATAGATTTGTGCGTAAGATATTCCATAAATATCTACCTAACAATCGTTACATACTATATGCTGTTATATTAATGATTTGATTTAATATAATAAATTCGTTACCCAGGACATGAAGACTTGTAACAGGTATATCACACCCCAAATAATTGAGATCTCTCTTTGATTTTACTGACCACAAACACATCAATCATAAATAAAAATATCTTACTTTCATAACAAATAATCTCATTTCCTGATTCTCAAACATTTGAGCTTCAAATGATGGCGGAAATCACATTCAAGTTAAGCTTCTTCACTGTCTTCATATCAGATCTACTTATGCTCACTCAATCAGGTTCTCCCTCTTTTTTTTTCTTGTGTTATATATAACTAAGGCCTTGTTTGGTTGGATGTAGGAAGTAGAAATTCCCATGAAATCTCAATTCCTATGAAATTGTAATTCTTAGGAATTCCCAAAAATTATTTGATTGGATGTAAAAATTTCTACTTCCCATGGGAAGTTCCACTTACCCAGGGAGGACTAGGTAAGTTAATTCCCCCATTTTGAGAGAAGTACTTCCTAAGAAGTTTCAATTCATACATTATTGTCAACCAAACAAGTATGCATATATTCATTTCCTAGGAAATCAAACTTTCCATGAATTTGTTTGTCAACCAAACAAGGCCTAAGATCTAATCTGCAATTGTACCATTATGATTTTGATCATGAATTTGTTAATTTTAAAGTTTCTTATTATTGAATTCGTACGTAGTATATACTTGCTCTGTTCTTTTTTAATCTTTTTCGATTGCCAGGTTCTAACTTTACAATATTTTCGCTTCTATTTTACTATCTTTTGTGATTTCTATGGAAAATATTTTTTTTTATTCATGTGTGGCTATGTTAGAATGTTAGATTCACCTAGATCTTGTAAAAAAAAAAACAAAGAGTCAAAAAGAGCAAATTCCAGTGCTTTTTTTTTATTTTTATTCTCAAGTTTAATTCAGCTATGTGAATTTCTTTCTCTGTCCTATAGAGTGGATGAAATAATCCATACATCGTGATTGATAGGTATATTACCCTCAATAAAAAAGACTTAAGGTAAATGTGTGCTTTTTGTAGGTGACATATTTGCTAAAAAGCTAAATCGCATAAATGTAGAGGATCAGGATGAACTAGAAAGTGGTAGCTTATTAATGCAAATGTTGATAGAGGCCGAAACAAAAACATTAGGACTTGCCAAAGATGTAATGGAAATACAAACAGGTCGAGAAGATGCAAACTCAAAAGATCAATTAAAGTGCATACCTTGTGGAGCAGCCTGTATTTCTTCAAGAAATTGCTGTAGAAACTGTTATTGCCTTATCTGGGAGCTTGTTAACCTCGATGTGTTCGTAATAGACCATCTCATTAACCAACTTAGTAGATTTCATTACTACTTTACTAGGATGTCACCTTAGACTACCAGAATCAGAATATAGATCATGTAATAAAGTGGTTAGTCTCAGTATATATTGCTGTTTCCTATGATATATGGATTAACCTCGTGATTTTATTCTCTATGTTCGCTGACTGTATCATGTAATTTGGTCTAGTTCACAATTATTAAGACAGAGGAGAGATTGTTTTCACATTTTGCAGGAGTAATCAGTGCTGATGAGAAGATATAGGTGACCATAGAGAATGAAAGTGGAAACTTACTTAAAGAGCTAGTAAAAGCAGGAGCAGTTTTGCAATACGACATTCATGAGGAGGTGATGGACAAGGTTTCGGATAAGACTTTATCTGCCAAATTAAAGTGCACTCAATGTGGTAGAGAATGCTCATCATTGAATGACTGTTGTGGACTTTGTGGTTGTGTATATAACACTTGCCTATCTGCCAAACAAGAATATTATGCTCAATGCAGAGTGATAGTTGATCTTATACTAATATTGTAAACATGCTTTGCCAATAACATCAAAAGTAACCATGAAATAAACTAGCTAATGAAGATCAGCAAAATGAGTGCAAACCACATTCTATAAAACAGGACAAAAGCAGAATGGCATGCATTACTCGCACAGGCGGATGGTTCCCTATCATATTTAACAGCAACCTTGCTTCCTATATGATTCAAAACAGAGAGGTGAATTACCCAGAGCCACATACAGATTGTAAGCAATGATAGATTGTGATATTGGTAATGATCAGGTCCTGCATTTTGCAAGTTTTTCCATGGCAATGCACATACAGAGAGGTGAATTACCCAGAGCCACCATCGTAAAATTACAAAAGTATTTATTACTATACCAGTTACCATTACCGAATGTGCTTAAAGAAACAAAGAGCAACAGGAAGTCATTCTTATTATTAGTTTATTAAATAAAATCTCATTACCATACGATTGATGACCAAATGATGTCGGGAAGAGACAGGGGAAACACAAATAGTAGATGAGATGAAACTAATTGCAGCTTGCGACAACATTAATCACCCAACAAAATTTTTTAATCACTACAAAACTTACCAAATCTGCATAACAAACCGTAGTAGACCAGGCCATTATCAGCAGCAGCAAGACTTTGAACCACAACAGGGGGTCCTGATTCCCAACTCCTACACATAAGATAAAAATTTCTACATTTAAAGATGAAGCGGACTATGCTGTCCTACATTTTACCATACCATTACCGTAATTCTGAAGCAAAGACAACCCTTGCATTCTGTGAGGTCCTTGGAAGACATATCAACTATATCATCATAACCTTTCTGTCACACATAATAACCGATTTATTGAAAATAACTGCACTTTTAAGCAGAAATTTAACATGACTTCTAATAATGACGATTGGTGAAACTTTAGGTAGTTGCATCATTCACGGAGAAGAAAGCTTGCACCAAAGCATATTGCAGTCGCAGATAAATCCTGACATATATACAAAAGAACCTGTGTTACATGAAAGGTAAGCACAAGTTTAGCTAGATGAATTCAATATACATATAAACTTACCACATCGGCGTATATTTATAAGTTCTTGCAAGAACTATAAGTTTCTCAACAATCTACAAATGCGTAGCAGACAGCTTCCTATGGACCCTAGTACTCAAAGTTATATGCATCCATGTATTTTGTGGAAAACCAATTTCTCATTTCCACAATGTTTTAATTGCTGGAAAAGAATAAAAGAACATTAGCAATATTCTAATAATTTTTCATTTAACATTATATTTGTAAGAAACTAAGCAACAACACCCCTAACATAGAATTGCTGAATTAGAAAGTACTACAATGGCTCAGATGTCAAAAAAAGCTTACATAAATCAATCTGAGCACATGACACGATGATTTGATTTTGGTAATGACACTTGATTAACACATTGTTCAGCTGGACTACATGGTTTATGAGTCTTAAGGTAGCTTAAATGAAGCAACACGAGATATTCTATCAGCAACGATCAATCACTTGCATTTTCTTTGGTAAAACATTACCAATATGCAGGATCATATGCTTAATCTAACTAGTTTACTCTCTTAACATCAAGGAAACAATGCAAGTACAATTTAAGAGCCTGAGATTGTACAAGACTGTATGATGACATGACTTAAATTTGATACAGTAAATAATTAGTATCATAGCTAACAAGATAACAATATTGAAAATAAATAGCAACAAATATTAAAGAATCAAGAATACACAGCAAAAATACAGGCCGGATTCTTCACAAGAAAGATCATGGGGAAGAAGAATACACTGCAACTCACCATATAAGCTTTATATCCCCAGTGGAAAACCCCGATATCTGAGTAAAATTTCAAAACATTCATCACTACAGGGCAACAGACGTATGATATTGGCTTCGTGGACAGATGAAACATCAATCAGTTGCAGATTATTTGATAAAACATTACCAATATGCGGGATCTTCAAATTGGGACAATCTAATGAGTATGGTTTTCCTACAAAATCCGTGCAGCTACTTAGAATAAGCACCAGCTTTTCAATGCTTGGAGAAGTAAAATGCAGCTCCTTCAAAACATCAGGAAACAGAACAGCCAATTCTCATACATGCGGGCATCCAGATATAATAAGTTTGAAAGTTTCATCACCCTCAAATTCACATAAGAAAGATACAATACTCTTAGAGATGCCATGAATACTCGACCTGGGAGCTTAATTTTTAAATCTTTAAGTTCAAGCGAAAGATACGGAATTCCAAAAACACGTGGTAGAGTTGCTAAACCAGCATAAATACTTGAAATGTTGCTTTGGTGATATTTCATAATTTTGGAGACGTATTGGCCATAGAACCAATCAAATATTAATGTTGGAACAAAGTCCAAAGATTACCAAATCGATGAATAAAGACAGTTTTTACAACTTCACTAATATCCAACAAGGAGAGAATGTGGACAGGTGATTCATCAGGTAAGTCACTTAACCTATCCATATCTCAACCCTCTTGCTCCTTTGAAATAGATTTGACTTACAATATTCTGAGTTTCAACTTTGACTCAACCTGAAATTTTTAACCCTTTCTATCCATCCCACGTCTTAGAATTTTAGGAGGAATTTACCTCCATTATAGGGTAAATCCCTTGTTTTATCTCTACTATAAAAGTGAAGGGAAGAGGAATGAAAAATTGGTTCTAAAATATGAAGTACCAATGATACCCCCCACCTTTGCTTTATTTTTTAATTTACAAAATTACTTAAAATGGTATATGCATTAAAAAAAGTCAATGATTGATAAACCTTGACATAACAAGAGATATTTAACTATGGATAATTAATTGATTGACTTAGGAAAATAAATAAGGCAATAAAAAAATACTTTAACATTGTCAAACCTAAACCCAATTGCCCAGTTAAAATAAGGCAAGCAATAATCTCATACAATAGATAAAACAAAAGTTTAGTGTCTATTTGAATTACATTTATTTCATCAATTTCTTTAATTTTAACATGTACTTTTTCCTTTGTATATGCTTGACAAAATTGAATAGATAGAAAAGTAATAAATTGTAAAAAGAACTGAACAAATCGCATGTATATGCGGTTAGTTATCATAATTCGAATTATATAGCCAAAAACTACCATGTAAGATTAAAAAATAACAAACAAACAAACTCCATGACTAAAGTGAGAATCCTACTTCGTATTATATTAGGTAAGGTAAAGATAGCTACCATATACTCCCTCTGTCCTTAAATGAAGTTCCCGTAGTCCTTTTTAGGCGCCCCAAAATGTTGTTCCTATTTCATTTTTCATTTTTAGACACTATAAAAATATCAATTACCCTCAATATTTTGTTTTAGTTCACTCAACTACCTAAAATATCCTCATATTTTCTCTAAAATATTGTGCCTCCACCCATGTTCACGTATTTTATTCCTTTTCACATACTTACTTTTTGTGGTCTACCCACATTTCTTGTACTTTACTCTCTTTTTTATGTACTTCATCCTCCCATTTTCTTAATTCTTGGTTTTCTTCCAAACAAGAACTTCATTTGGGGACGGGGGTAGTAGTAAACCTATTATTTTACAATAATTACAAAATAATTTCCTATATCTCAAAAGAGATTATTCTACCTATATTCTTTATCACTTCGTATAGCTTTATATTTTTATCTTATAATATCATTAAGGTATATATTCTTTAATAGTATGATTGGAAACTATATGATATATTTCTTATACAAAACATACGAAGCATGTTTATAAAATTTCAAATAAATGTATTATTCCTTACAAACTTTAAAAAAAAATTCCAATTCTTATAATGTATACTAATTTTGAAGTTTTCTAAAAAAAATGTCTATAAATATATGATACTAAAAAATATCTTATTAGATTAGTCACAATGTAATTTACATAGACAAATAAGGATATTAAACGTCAATGTTGTGCATTGACAAATCTATTAGTCAAACTGATGTATTCATATAAGAACAAAGAGAGAACAACAATTCTACCTCTATTTCAATCTTCCTTTAAGATTGTTTTGTCTCTTTCCTATAATCTCAAGCTCTCATACCTATAATCTCAAGCTCTCATGTCTAAGAACAAGCCAACAAGAAACCCAAACAATAAAAAGTTATTTTGTGCACTCGATAGCATGTTGTACATTACTCTCTATGTTAATGTTTCATTTCATAATACTTTTGGGTTTTTTTTTTTTTTTTTTTTTTAATCATTTTATTAAAACTTTGTGCAAGTTGTATGTAAATGTAAAGATCAGAGGATCCTCACTCACAAACACTATCACATGACAAGATTTGAACCTCAAAAGTCAAACCACAAGGATTCAACATATGAACCTTACCAAGTAATACGAGACAAGCCTTGCTTGGTGTTTGCGCTATCAATTGGTGTTAAACCTTTCCAAAATTGCACAATGTTGACATGAGTTTAGTGTTAAATTGTCACATTTGTGCCGCTTTGGCAATGTAATTGTGGGAAATATAGTCACTAATTATTACGAGCAATGGTCCAAAGCTATTCAGTAATTTCTCAAGGGGGGATGGCCTTAAAACACTGAAGTAGCAAGCAGCAACAACATAAATCAACTCAGCAGCATTTCTTCCTATTTTGACTTTGTCTATAAAAAATTCCAAATAAGAACATATAGAGATGGAGAATTCAGTCAATTTCCAAGCAAAGTCAGGTATTGGTAGCAGCAGCACTGAAATCAAACAGTGATCCTAAGTCGCAACAGTAAGAAAATTTTCAAAGGAACTCAGTCTTAAACATAAGAAATCCTCAACTTTCAACATACAGCATAAGTGCATACTACCTTCAGTATATTTCTCAAGCAAAAACAACGCGTGCATTGCGTGAGGCCCTTGGAATGCCCAATAACTTCATAGCAAAAATTTGGTTGTCGTTCGAAAAGAGTGGATCCTTCCCATTGTTGGCAATAACCAATTTCTCCAAGGTGTCTGCCCTTTCAAGCAGAATTTCTATCAGCCGAAAAAGAGATTTGTAAGGCTTCTCATACTCACGAATGGAGACATTTTTAAGTCGATGCAAATCATAACAAGAAATAACCTCTTGCACAAGGAGTTCATTGCAATCACAAGAAAAATCCTGACATTATATGAAAGATCATTATGTTAGAAGTATTAAAAGGTGGACCACGATATTGGCTAGAAAAAGTCATGAAAAACAACTTACCCCGTTGGCATATATTATAAGTTCTTCCAACATGTGTGAGTTGCACAGTAATCTGAACATGCCTAGCAGACAGCCTCCACGGAAACCAGGCCTCAGAGTTATATGCGTCCATTTATTGCTTAGACCAGATAGTTTCTCATTATATTCATGTCCACAGTGTTTAAGTTGCTGAAACAAATAAAATTAGAACTATTACTTGTTTCTTTCAATTATTATCAAAAATATAGCCTGAAAAGTGAATAAAATGAACACTCGATAACAGAGAAAAAAAGCACTACAATGCACTAAGTTGTTGAGAAAAAAAAATTGCTTGAATCTCTCTGAGCAAATTGAGCTACAGTTTAATTTCGGCAACCACACTTGGTTAACATTGGTTTGTTAGACTACATGTATGGTAGCCAAACATATTTGCTACATCACAAGCGGGTAATGGTCAGTCAGAAGTTACAGAAACTGTGAGAAACTAAAGTCTAAATGACTTGAGAATTGCTGTCACATGGCATACTACTACAAGTGCCCAAGCCCTCAAATGTAACATACACAACATCAAAACTCAACTGCAAGTGAAGAGAAAAACTGTAGAAATTAATATGTGACCACATGTTTATTACCTTATTTTCTTTTAACTCTATTATGTCATGTATATAGCTGTCCTGTATAGCTGTAGGTTGTTTTTTTTTTTTAATAGCTGTAACTTTGTCTTTGGTCAGGTGTATAGGCTTGGTGGATGTATCCTTGTATATATATAGTGGCAGCTTAAGGGTGAGAGCCGCAATACACAGAAATCAATACAGATTTGATTCCAATATTGTGAGTGGTTTTCCAGAAAGGACCAGAATATAAACACCAAAAGATCAAAACTTTACATGATATCTGAGCAGCAAGGTTGAAAGCTTGAATCTTTTACCTTATGGCTTCATAATCGAGTTGATAACAGAAGAATTTATTGAACCTTGATAGAATGGCAGGGCAAGATAAGGAAACAAAGAATGAGAGTGGATATGCAGATCCATTGTTTCTTGCAAAGTCTGATAACGCTAATGTTCCTCTTACAAACATTACGTTCAATGGAGAAAATTTTCTTAACTGGAGCAGAAGCATCAAGCTTAACTGGGATCTAAGAATAAGCTTGAAGTCCTCGAGGGAAAGGTGACTAAGCCAAAACCTGAAGATCCAAAGTATGCTCTTTGGATGAGAAACGATTACAAGCTTAGAGGATGGTTGTGCAGGTCTATGGATGAGAAGATTGCCAATAGCTTCACATACATAGATTTTGTAGAGAAGCTCTGAAATGAACTTAAGGAGAGAGATGGAGAAACGAATGCACCTCTCCTCTACTCTCTGAAGAAACAGGTTAAGAACCTTGAACAAGAAATAATGCCAGTTTCTGAGTATTATTTCAAGATAAAAACAGATCTGGGATGAAATACAGGATTTAGAAGGGTTACCTGAGTGCACCTGTAGTGGTATAAAGAAATGCACCTGCCAGTTGCTCAAGAAGTTCTTGGAGATACAGGAAAGAAACAAAGTGATAGATTTGTAATGGGACAAAGCGACAAAAATGAGAACATTGCTGGGAATATAATGGCAATGGAGCCACTTCCAACTCTGAACAGAGGGTTCATTTGGTACAGCATTCTGAGACGCAGAGACAGATATTGGAGGGACAGAACACAGCAGAAGCAAGTGCTTTTGCAGCGAACAAGATGAATCAAGGAAGAGGAAATGGAAATTTCTAAAGAAGAGAGATGAAAGAGATGAAGATGAAGAAGTGGTGGGAGCACTGCAAAATGAAGGGACACACTATTGATGACTGTTTCAAGATTTATGGGTACCCGGACTGGTTCAAGAACAACCCAAAAGGAAAAGGAGGAATGAGGTATGCTGCTAAATGAGTACCTGGAGGAAGAACCGCTTGATTGTGGAAGCAAGAATGGGAATGCAGAAGGCAAGCTTGACAGCAATCTGCAGTAGTTCAAGAAGTAATGAAGGCATTAAGCAAACAGCAAGGTTCTAAAGCGGGCAGTAGCAAAATGGTCAACTTTGCAGGTATAATCTTAGTCTCGGATGCTATAACTTCCAATAGAAAGTATGATATGAATACTTGGATGGTTGACTGCGGTGCCTCTGATCATATTTGTGGTAATGAGAAAGCATTTAGTGATTTTAAATTGCTGAAGAAACCAGTTAAAGTAGGGTTTCCAGATGGAACTATCAAGTTCGTTGAGAAAATAGGAGAAGTTAAGATGTCAAGCAAACTGATTCTTCATAATGTACTGTGTATTGAAGAATTTAAACATAACTTACTGTCAGTGAGTAAACTGATTGAAACCAGCAAGCTCAATGTGGTGATTGATACAGAAAGTTGTATCTTATAGGACCCTTACTCTAAAAAGCAAGTAGCAAGAGAAGTAAAGGAGAATGGGCTTTACATGCTGGTGGTAAAGTGTGATGAAGGGAATGAAGCTACAAGAGGAGAAGAGAAGATGAGCAATAATGTAACTGTTTGTAATGAAGGAACAAAGTTGAATGTTCTTCATGCTAGACTAGGGCATAGTTCTCTTTCTAAGATGATACATATTGAGATTTGCAATTGTACTTCCTTTAAAGATTTCTTTTGTGATGCATGTTGCATAGGAAAACATCATAAACTTCCTTTCAAATTAAGTAATTCAATTGCAGATGGAATTTTTGATCTTATTCATGTAGATCTTTGGGGATCCTATAGAATTCCTGCTGTGACAGGAGAGAGATACTTTCTCACTATAGTAGATGACTATAGTAGGAGTTGGACACATATGTTGTCTTGCAAGGAACTGGTGAAAAATATTTTGAATACCTTCTTTAATTACATTGAAAATCACTTCAATGTAAGGGTGAAAAATGTGAGAAGTGATATGGGACGGAGGTGTTCCAAAGTGAATGCAGGAAAATATTTCATGATAGAGGGATAAAGCATCAAAGAAGTATTGCAGGTGTACCTCGACAGAATGGCAGAGTTGAGAGAAAGCACAGGCACTTGATCGAGACAGCTAGAACCATGAGAATCTATGCAGATCTACCAAGATACTTATGGGGTGAATGTGTAATAGCAGCTACACACATCATTAATCTATTGCCTAGTGCATTAGTTGGGTGGAAAACACCTTATGAGAGGCTTTTAAAGAAGAAACCAGATTACGATCATCTGAGAATCATAGGATGCTTATGCTATTTATCAAACACTGATAGAAAGTTAGATAAGTTTGGAAACAAGGGAGTTAGATGTGTATTGGTGGGATATGCAAATGATATATCAGTGCTTGATGCATAGCATAAGCATAAAACATAGAGGGAGAACTATGCTAATGAAAAGAATTTTGGGATATATCTCCCTAGTTAGATTATGATCATCTCCAAAGTTAGATTATATATCATATGATCATAGAGGGATATCCAAACTTATCATGACATTAGGGAGTAAGATGTGTATTGGGGAACTATGAAGCAAGCAAAGATCTAGGGTGGATAAGTGCCATGAATGATGAGTTAGAGGCATTAGAAAAGGATAGAACATGGGAGTTGACAGAGTTACCTGAAGGGAAGAAAGCTTTAGATAGCAAATGGGAATATAAAACAAAGTTCAAGAAAGATGGCACTATTGAAAGATTGAAGGCTAGAGTGGTGGCAAGAGGAGATAGATAAGTTAAAGGAAAGGATTATGTAGACACATTCTCACCTGTGGCAAAGTTTACCATTGTGAGAAGCTTAATTGCCTTGGCATCTGCAAAGAGATGGAAATTGCATCAACTTGACATAAATAACACATTCTTACATGGGTTTCTTGAGGAGGAGATATATATGAAGGCACCACAAGGTTATGGGAAACCAAAAGAAGGGAAAGTGTGCAAGTTGAAGAGAAGCTTATATGGATCAAAGCAAGCATCGAGACAATGGAATCAAGAACTAACTAAATTTCTTAAGGAACTTGGTTTGGAATAGCAAAGAGAGATCATTCTCTATTTACTTGAGTGAAAGATGGGAAGACAACAATGGTGTTAGTATACGTTGAAGATCTATTGGTTACTGGAGATGAAGGACAATATATTGAAGAATTGAAGAAGAATCTTGATAAGGCTTTCACTATCAAGGATCTAGGAGAAATGAGATAACTTCTAGGGTTAGAAGTATCAAGGAACGAGGAGGGAATAATCCTAAATCAGAGAACATATATTCAGCAAATTCCCTATGCAAAAGGGGCTGAAATCCTCCTTGAACAGTATAGAAGACTCATTGGAAGACTGTTGTATTTGAGATTATCCAGACCAATTTATGCAGACTCCCAGGAAGCCTCATCTACAAGCTGCTCTTCACGTGATCTCTTATTTGAAGGGAACGAGTGATGGGGCTTGTTCTATCCCCAAGTCGAAACTTATAGGGTTCTGTGATGCATTCTGGGGCACTTGTGCTTACAGTGGTCGATCTTTGCCAGGATAATGAATAGTCTCATATCTTGGAAAAGCAAGAAGCAAAAGACAGTTTCAAAGTTTTCTGCTGAATCAGAATACAGGAGCATGTCACACACGACTAGTGAGCTAGTTTGGTTGGATGGGACATGAAAGTCAGCACAATTTCTAATCCTTCAAGTTAGGAATTGTCGGAACCTTCCCAAGTCTATTTTGAGGGAGGGGGTGTAGAAATTAACATGTGACCACATGTTAATTACCTTATTTTCTGTTTTGTTTTTTATTTATTAGCTGAACTTTGTCTTTGACTCTTTGGTCAGGTGTAGAGGGTTGGTGGATGTATCCTTGTACATATAGTGGCAGCTTAGGTTGTAAAGGGTGAGAGCCGCAATACACAGAAATCAATACAGATTTGATTCGATCATTGTGAGTTTTCCACAAAGGATCAGAATATAAACACAGAAAGATCAAAACTTTACAAAATCTACCCACCATATTCATAGTTTCAAGTAATCAGGTATTAACCTTGTTCCTAACAGGCTAACATTCTATGATGAAAGATATATTAAAAATAGCTAAATCTTGTATCACAAAATAGACCATAATTATTGTCACGACAAAGACATAAAATCAATAAGTTATAGATTACAATATACTGATTCATTATCACAGTTCGAATACCTGTACCAGATAACAATACTGTACGTGTGGCCAGAATGGAAAAATAATTAACAATAGTGAGGAATCACAAATAAACCAAAAAGTGCAGAATTCTTCAAAAAGTAAGAACAAAGGGTAGGAGAAAACAACTCACTTGATAAACTTTGCTTCCCAGCTGGAAAAACTCAGCATTCCGAAATTTGTCAAGTAATAATTCAAAATGTTGAACACTCATCACTCTGATATCCTGGTCTTCGAAATAAATTTTTTTTTTGATGATGCATACACAGGCCGAAGAAACATTAATCACTTTCAGATGATCCAAAAGCACATTTTCAACAAACAAGACCTTGACATTGGGGCAATCAATTGAGTAATGTTTGGGTACAACCACCGCAGACCCCATTGAAAGATCAAGCCACAATTTCTCAATGCTTGGAGCAGTAAAATGCACCTTTTGTAATCCCTGAGGACTTAAAACATACAATTCTTGTAAACACGGGCACCCTTTTATCAAATCTTGAAATATCTCATCACTCAAACCCACACAGTCAAGCAGCAATTTTCTCAGTGACTCCAATTTCACAACCCGGGAGCTTGATCGCAAAACCAGTAAGCTCAAGCACAACAAGACAATGACTACGGAATACTTGAGGTGGCAGATTAATTAAAGCATAAGCAAACATACAATTAAACTTCAACTCCTTAGTTTCTTTACTTAAAGCGAAATTGGTCCATTCCATCAACTTATCCTGTGAAATTTCATTTGAAAATTTCAATTCGAACATATTAATAATGGGATTTTTGTGATATTTGATCACATTGTCAATGAATCTTTCCCCATCGTAAGAGAAACTAAGATTAGGATGCAAAGTCCAAAGATCACCAAATCTGCGAATTTGAACAGTTTCTATAGCATTTCTAATTGGCAGAAAAGAAAGTAAGTGAACAAGGACATCATTTGGCAATTCGATTGACCAATCTCTGATTTCATCATCTTTATCGCAAAATTTTTGCTTCTTTGATCTAGATTTAATGATTTTTCAGGTTTCAATCTACCAGAAATTCGATTAGAAAATTGGGTTAGAAAATTAAATCAACCTAAAATTATGATAGATTTCACAAAAATTGAGAAAAAAAGGGACTGTATGACTTACATAATTCGAGTACTCAGCAATTATTAGCAGGAATTGGAGAAGAAATTGAGAGAGTTCATCAGAAATTCTGCAAAGAGCAAACCCTTCTGAATTCCACGGCTCACAAAATGGGGGGCGGGAGAAGGTAACATGTATCTGCTGCCATGTGTTTTGGATGATGTTACTACACTATTAGTTTAATTAGATCTAACAAAAGAGACCCGACTAGATGCCATAAACAAGCTAAATGACAATCGAGAAGATACAAGTTTATCATCTTGATATGGCAAAACGGTAAATAAATCAACAATTTGTCATTAGATACAGGTCTCACAATTGTTGATATAATTATGAAAATGTCATGTTGAATGGACATTATACGAGTAAGTTGATTTATTTACGGAGTCTCGTTTTGCCAATTTGCTTATTAAGATGATAAATTAGAGCTTTCTTGTGACGATATGTTCAAACTTAAAGATTGACCTGACTCCAGAATGGTAAATTGAATGACCCGATTTGGTCGATCATCATCTCATTTATGGCTATACAACCCTTCATAATTCATCATCATGTATTAAGGGGCATAATTGTAATTGCATATGTCATTTCATATTATAAAGCAGGTGTTTTTAATTTACAGATTTTTACTAAACTAAATTAATTTTAATTGAACTGAAATTACTTTTACTACATACTTCGTATTGTTATTTTTCAACTCCCTCTATCCCTATTTTTTTTTGCCTCATTTGACTTTTCACGGTCTCTATGACGCGTCTTAGAACGCACATATCTTCATTTCCATACACGTAAAAATTATAAAAACATGACATTAATAAAATATACAATGAACCGAATCTAACAAGATCATTCATGACTATATTATCTCTTATAGATTAACAGTAATTTACGATTAAAATTTACAAAGTTTGACCTGAAAAATGACAATAGAGCAAAAATAAAGGGACAGAGAGGCAATATAAGGTAAAAAAATAAATAAATAAATAAAGACTTAATTTTTCCTACATGCAAACTCAGACGTCGGTGATGAGTCCTAAACATAAGAAATCCTTAAAATTTAAAACACGCAATATAACAGCATGCATATTACACTATATAAGCATACTCCCTTTAGGATTTAGTACATCTTCTTACTCACTTTCTCTCTCCGTCTCTCATCACATTTTATTTAAATTTTATTCACCACCACCACCCGGCCACGGGCCACCACTGAAACCAACCAGCCCGTCACGCCATGAGCAACAAGGGTTCACCAACGCAGCCGCAAAGGAGGCAGCGCCACCAGCACCCCACCTTGACGACCACCTGATGAAGCGACAGCAGACGAACAACGATGGAAACAAACTGCAAGTCGAGGCTACCAAGGTATGTACATTTTTTTATGGAGGAGCAGTACCGGCGCTCAAAACCGGTTAGTTGTACATGGTTAAACAGGCTTCTTAGGGTAGGTTAAACCGTTTACTGTCCCGGTTTGACTTCATAAAAACAACCTAACAAACCAGTACCGTGGTTTACCGGTTTTCCAGAGCGGCTTTACCCACGTCCAAATGGTTTTAAGGGCCGGTTTTTATTTATTTATTTTTTTATTTAGTGAAATATAAGTATAGTATGCCCTGAAACAAAAAATAAAAAAAATACTCGTATAGTATAACTTATACAACTGATTCACTGAACAAGCATTATACTTCGCATAACTTTGGCAACTAATTAGAAGTGCCTTTATTCCCTTCCCCCCCCCCCCCCAACCAAAAAAAAAAAAAAAAAAAAAGAGATAGATGTGACTTTATTCTATAGCCTACTAATTAAATAACACAGTAAGGTCTTGTTTGGTTGAAATAGGAAATAACTTTCCTTGGTAATTTACAATTCATGGAAAGTTATTTCACTCATACAATTCCTAGGAAACTATTTTAATTTGTTTGGTAGACATTAGGAAAATCACAATTCATGGGAATTTTGAATGACTTAGGTAATTTAATTCCTACATTATGTGGGAACTTCAAATTCCCATGGAATTTCAACTTCCTCCATTTTGCACTTTTTTTGTTAACCAAATAACTCACCATTTTTGTATTTCCTAAGAATTTTGAGTGCCCATGGGAAATTAGTGTAATCAAACAACACCAAATCAAGGGTATTCATCAAAGGGAATGGGAATGGGAATCAACTGTCGTCATTCCCTTGTTTGTGAGGCCTTTTCCCCATTCCCTTTACCCTCTCCATTCTCCCAAATCCTTCCAACTTGATTCCCCACCTCCCATCCTAGGTTTTTCCATTCCCTTTCCTTAGCCACCACTACACCACCATACACACACCAGCCACCACCTTCCTACCCTACCCCACCACCCACCCAGCTCACCGCCTCTCCTCCCTCGAAAACACCCCCACCCCGCAAAACCCTAGAAACCAATCCCCCTCCCCAATAAACCGCCGGTTGCCCCTCCCCCCACCATAAATTATTTTGAAGCAATTTAACCCCAAAAATATCATCTATCTAAATTATAGTTTTAAATCTAAGTTTTTGCGGTCTATCCGATTTGAAATAACAAGATCTATTTTCAACAATGACTTTTTTTTTATTAGTTGTTATTTATCTATTTTCTTCTAAATAAGTCAAACCAACTAATGAAAGATCAAGTCCCATCGACTACTCAGCAGGTTAATGGTCTCACTCCAGCTGCGAAGGCGCTTGTTATTAAGATGACTTTTGTTGCAGCTAAGCCGCGTCACATTATAGCAGCAGTGAAAGAGAAGTATCCAAACGAGAACCCTAACATGAGAGAGATCTACAACTTGAGAAGACGTGCTCGGCTAGATGCTCGTAAAGGTCGGCCATCGTTAAGTCGGTGGTGTATACGTAGCGAATTTGAACATACCTTGGGTTCTCGTGGTCGTCGAGATAGTAGGGGTGGTCGTCGAGGTGGTCATAAGCCACCAATTGGCACAGCTTCAGGTTCATTTTTATGTAACTAGCCTTTTACCATTGTTTATTCGAAATTTGAATGGTTTTAACTTTGTTTTATAACTTGTAGGGAATGATTTAAACTTGGACGAATTTGCATATTTGGATAAAGTACCAACCTTCATGCTTCCATTCTTACGGGGGTGGAGCGATCCACTAGGTGATGGTAACTGTGGGTTTCGATGTGTTGCAGATTTCTTCATCGGTGATTAGGAGAAATGGATGTTAGCGAGAGGTACGATTGCAAATGAGGTTGCTGCTCATCGAGATGTGTATTCTCGAGTGTACACTGCTGAACTGTTGGATCAAGCAATAAACCGTATCACATGGACAGGAGGGAGATGTAGCACGGATCATTGGATTACTATTGATGACTTGTTTCCGGTTGCCAACTTTTACAACTCAGCTGTTATGTGTTTTGGTGTTGGTAGTGACAATCGTAATGTGTACCCATGCATCACTGTGCTACCTTGGACCGTGCCGTCAACTGCCACTGGTCCGTATAGGGAGTTTGCAATTTTATCATTAGGGAGGCATTTTGTGCGATTGGAGTTCGAAGATAATTTTCCAATACCTCCTATTGCTACTACTTGGTTCGAAATACGTGATGATACTGTTATAGGTTGGGAGGACCAATATCAACATAGGCGTGCTACATGGCACACTCTAGCTAGTAGTCAATGACGTTGTTAGCGTTATTGTATGTGATGAACGAGCCGAAGTTGAAATAACGTTTTTATGAACTAATATTGTTGTTGCCATTAACTAATGTAATGCATATATGAAAAAGTGCATAAACTCTTAATACATTAAATCCCAATCTAAAACATAAAACATTTTAGAAAAAGTTGTCAGAAACCACATTTTAAAACACTTTTTTAGTGAAAAAAACACCATATCTAATTTTATTTATTATTTTTTTTTTTGTAAGAGCACACCTAAAACCATAATTATTTTGCAAGATAATACCTTAGGCTGCTTTTAGGGCATTAACCCTGTTTCCCAGTGATGATCCCCTTACATGAGGGTCACGTGCTTAGAAAACCCCCTTTCTTTCTCCTCAAAGCCACCACAACCACAGTAGTAGCGGAAACAGCAACAGTAGCAGTAGTGTGTAGCCGTAGTAGCAGTAGCAATGTAGCAATAGTAGTAGTGAAGCAGGTAGTAGTAGTAGTAGTTTTTTTTTTTTTTTTATTCAACTGAGTAGTAGTAGTAGTAGTAGTAACCAACGATAACTTGTTTGGTTGGATCATTATATTTATATCAAAAGCAGACCATTGAGTAAAGCTTTGTTTCCAATTCTAAACTAAAACGGCTCTGTACCACATTTCAAATACATAATTTGCAACCTGTTTATGCTTGTTGAAAAATTCTGTAAGATACATGTAAATTGTTACAGAATGTACCTATGTATATTCTGAAGCTGGGTGCAATTCAAGAAGCTAGTTATATGTAATTTACAATTGTATAACATCATCCAATCACACACCTTACGACACTTGATCTAAAAGCTATCATGGAAGTATTTTTTAAACACAATTCATGCTCAAAGTCAAGTTCCTTGACTTTGGGATCCCCATCCAACCTTCAGGAGAGAAGCATAAAGTAACTCGTTCCATAAGTCAGGCACACCAGGCAAGCACCAATGGCTGCAATCTTGTGATTGCTCGGCCTCAATTCGCTCATCTTCACTCTCATATGACTTTCTGTAAATCGAAGGGTGAGCATCCTTTCGGTAGTCTGTGAGCCTGCTTATGTTTAAGTACATCACCGGGGTCTTCATTTTCCCCAAAACTTGCTCAAGAGCTCTCATCTTTGAAGGGTATTTCCCTAAGTAAGTCTCGTTGAAGATGGGTTCAGTTTCCTTATGGCATTGCCCTCCCGAATTCCACTGACCTCCTCTGCATCAAACGCTAATTAACATAAATTCTGAATCTGCTAGAAAACTAACTAATTAAGAGCATGGACATATGATAACACAGAGTGTATAATTTCAAAGTAAACAATATTCAGGCCAATAGTTTATGAGTTATGAACTTGAGATCTTAGATTAAAGAGACCTAATCACTCTCTCTTCTGTTTTCTTTTTGAGCAATGATCAATATAAAGAGAAATAATTACTTATCTCTACCCCATGCAAATCATCACTGAATACTTAAGAGCAAGCAAAATTATTTCATATACTCCTTCCATCTGGAAACAAAAGCCAATCATATACAAGTACAATTATCATGTCCATAAAGAGTTGCCACGTTCCCTAAGAAAGTAATGGGTTATTCTCCAATAGAGTTTCCCAATAAGTAACGGACTAAATCAAGTAATTTTCATAACTAGGAGAGGTTGGCACTATGTAATAAATTGACAATCAACTCCTAACAGATGATTTATAGTTAAGCCTGAGCTCTTGCAGTATCAGAGGAACCATATCCCAGAACAATGAGTTCAGCATCAGATGAATCAAACAACCAAACACAACTACACAAGCCAGTCAAAATGCTAACCTGAAATGAGTGCCAGAATATCCTCTAAAGAAAACCAGAGTTTTCTTGTAATCAATATGCCTGTCAACCCATCTGCCCCAAGTAGCAAGGGCTTTCCTGTAAGCCTTAAGAGCCTTAAGTCGAGGATGAACAAGATCTCCTTCTTGATAATACTCTTCCCTGTAGAATAATAAAAAGCAGGAAATTCTCATATTAGTCTAGTCACACAAACGATTTCATGATTGCCAGATCAATCGCAAAACTCACCCCCTAGAAGTTTTCTCATGGGTCCACCAGTGACCTGTGTTGAAGACTAGAATATGAGCATCATGATACATTTGAGTTGTTTCGTCCATTAAATCGAGCCTTAACGTTGATAGTGATCCATTATTCTTCTGAAATGTGGACTCCCTGACCAAAAAGGGAGCTCTAACATAGTCAATAGTACAGTTGTAGTCCTGCATACAAAAGCCCTGACCACTTAGACTCATTCTTGTAAATATATAAGGAAGCAAAGGAGAAGGTTTATGGAAAGACCAAATATCTTGCCTCAAATCTGATGGCGTAGATACCCTCCTTTTTGAATTCCCTCTTCCCGGATACCTCATACACCGTGTTCTTGTCTTTAATACTATGCCAAAGAATGCAAACAAGAGACTCCCACATGTTCCGATTCAACGAATCCCCAATATAAACCAGCTTCTTTCCTCTCATTCGTTCCAAGAAATCAGTGGCATTTAGTCTAGCAATCACATCAAACAACCAATGAATCAACAAGGATTTGAAAATTGGAAGCACAAAACATAGCAATTTTGGCAAATTTTAGCAGGACCAAGGCAGCCAGCTTCAACCAAACTAATTATAGAAGTCATATCCGTGACAATTTTCCAAACACAACATCTTATTCCTCCTTGTCCCTGCCATAATATCTATAATCCTCCCCCACACCCAAATCAAACCTCACCCAATTCATACAATTAGCTAGGAATGTCCATGGGGTGGGGCAGGGCGGGACGGGACCAAAGGATGTTTTCCCAACACCCATTCTCACTAAAATCAGCTAAACTTCAATTTAACTAGAGCAGCTTTGCATATTTCAATCCATCAATTGTGCATATTCATCAAATTATAAACACTAGCTACTAGATAGCAACAATCAGCAAAATTCCACACAAAATAGCATATATTGAATGCTCAATATTCATTAACCACCCACATCAGCATTAAAAAAAAATTACAATACCCTTTAATTATAAACATAAACACTACGGAGTACATAATTTCACATGAAAAACATGAAATAAAAACCATATAATATAATTAAAATGATACCTAGGAATGTTGCACCCAAATGGCTGCCATTTCCATCTGTAATACCCATCATCAGGTCTCCCATTAAGATGACAATTAAAATCTCTATCAATAAAAGGGCAAATCCCAGGAGGGTAATGTGGTAATTCATCATCTCTAACCCATTTTCCATCAAAAATATCACAATCTTTTCTCAAAACCCCAGAATTTCTCAAACCCAATTTATCAATATTTAGACTGTTTCTGGAAACATTGATGAAAACCCTTGATTCTTCTTCTTCTTCCAAACCATGGAAACTCACATTCTTCAACTTCAAATCAAGATTTTCAAAGTGGGTCCCACTTTCACTCCCATTCCCAAGATTCTCAGTTGAAGTTGTTAAGGGCGTGTTTGGGAGTGAGAAAGTCCAAGAAACCATGGAAGTTGTTGGTGTAATTTTGTTGGGAATCAAGATTAAGAGAGAGAAAATGATGAATGAAGCAGCAGCAATACATAATCCAAACCCAGAAACTATTAAACCCTTTTTTGGGTGTAATTTTTGCTGCAAATTATCTGCTAATTTTGTTTTCATCGACGCCATTACTGCTCCTCAGTAATTCTGCATGCACAGCACAAAAATAAACCATCAAAATTCCTCAAAAAAACAAAAACCCCCAAAAAATGTTTTTTTATTTTTTATGTTTGAAGTGAAATTGAAGAAATTTTGGATTAAAATGAAAAAGGGTTTTCTTCTCTTCGAAATTTACTAACTAACAGTAGAGAATTTGTTCAATTTTTGCTCTTTGTTTTACAGTTGCAGAGAAGAGGGAAGGAGGAGGGAAAACTATGAAATGGGTTGGTCATGAATTGACGATAATACCCTTTAGTAACTGAAAATTACGCAAAGATTATGAATTTTGGATTTTATTTGAAAAGGGGTAATTTTGTACATTTATGATTGGAGTTTTATTGGAGTGCGCAAAATGTAATTAGTGTTCGAATATGCCGAAAATGGAAATTAATTGTGAATTTATCATTCTTGTTGTTTAATTGTAATCTACTCCGTAACTAGAGTAGGGTAATAAATTTTGGCATTTATTGATCGATCTATATAGGAAATTAATAAAGGTCTATGTTTATTAAATTTGTCATTATTTGACACATTAATGACAAATTTGTCATTATTTGTTTGTGTAAATTTGTCATTATTTGGTTTATTTAATAATGGGAAATGATAAGGGTTGTATTCATTAAAAAAAAAATCAAATCTATCAATAATAATAATTACATACTAAAGGCGAAACCTGGAATGATACTTGTCATTTCCTGGTTAAAAAATTTTCCCTTTTATTTTTTTTATTTTTTTTATTTGCCATTTTATATGACATTTATTGTAACCTACAATAATAGTTATTTCCATTTTGAAAACATATTTAATCCAATTATACTCAATTTTTTGTACATATATTTTATATACTAGGAAACTTTTAGTTACAAAAATACTAACATAGATTAAAAATAAGGTATTGTAATATATTATATTCCAAGATTATTATAATACTAGATGGAAGCCCGTGCGATGCACGGTTTTTTCATTTAAGATTTTTATTTATTTGTTTTATTGTATTTAATAATTTCAGACAAAATTACAAAAGTTTAATATTTATTTTTTTTTACTATAATTTATAATAAATTTATTAAATATAAATAAATTGTAAATATGATATTTTTTCCGTTATATAAAATCTTTAATGTGAATTGATAAATTTTTAATAATTTAAATCCTAAATCATTATTCATTGTTTTACCATATCTTTTATTCGATAGAATCACCAACCTCGTTTGATATAAATTAAAATCCTATTTTTAAATAGAAATAAGTTGTAAATTTTAATAGTAAAAGATTTTATACAACGGAAAAAATATCATATTTACAATGTAAAATCCTACGTTTAAATAGAAATAAATTGTAAGAAATATCATATTTACAATTTATATAAATATAAAACATTATAGTAAAAGGTTTTGTGCCCAGGCGACGCCCGGATGGTTGATAAAATTTTAAGATAACATTCTTACTTGAATGTTAATAAATACGGTCACATAATCCGTTATGATAATGTAGGATATTTAGACATACGATATAATATGGCTTATATTTATATAATAGTGTACTTTTTGTAGTTTTATTTTGTTTGTAAATAGGTATATATGTTATTATTGACTTGAAATCACTTATATTGAGCTTAAATTATTTTCACTAAACTAAAAGTATCTTTACCAAACTAAAATTAATTTTACGGATTAAAACATTTTTTTTTATTGATTCTCTATTATTTTTTTAAATAAATTAAATAACAATACATTTTGTATGCGGCTAGCCACACTATTTGGCCAGACAAAGTAACCCCTATAAAACCGAGAGAGTAACCCTTGTAATACTAACTGAGTAACCGCTATCTATAACACTAATTGAGTAATCACTATAACACTAACCAAATAACCCCTATAGCACTCACAAAGTAACTCTTATAATAGTTGGTGACACGGTTTGACCAGCTACTTATAAAAGTTTTTGATTAAATATATTATAAATGGATCTTATTTTAAAGAACTTTTTAAAACGAATTTGATAATGGAAATAGAATTGAGTTATAGGATATTTATAAAAAGTTATGATTAATTTTGTATATATGAAATATTAGAATTCTATCGATAATAAATCTCTATACAACAATTTTATCTTAAAAAATCTATCCAAAAATCGCTTACTTAACATGATACGTGTTACAATAATACCTATTTATCGCCTAAGTGGCGCGACACTTGGCGAAAAATTGGAATGTCAAGTGTCGCTATCTCGTGGCCTAGCTGCGAGACTGACTTTATTTATTAGTCATATGATGATATGATATGATATGATTTCCTCAAAAAAAAAGAAGTTATATTATGATTTAATCCCCTCCCCCAAACAACCCCCCCTAAATAAGTTGTAAATATGATATTTTTTCCGTTATATAAAATCTTTAATGTGAAATGATAAATTTTTAATAATTTAAATCCTAAATCATTATTCATTGTTTTACTATATCTTTTATTTCGATAGAATCACCAACCTCGTCCACAACCATCCTACTACATCAATGGATAAATTGAACCGTGAAATGTTAGCAAAACTGAAATTGATATGAATTAAGTCTTTACATTTATATAAAATAAATCAATATATTTACCAATAAATGAAAAATTGTTGCGATACAAAATCAAATCTATGCATTAGAATTTTTTCATCATTTTCAAAAATAACCAAAGCCATCCATATATTAAGCATACAACATCTAATTGTATGTTATTACATAAACAAATAATCATTAAGTATCCTAAATAAATACAATGTAACTAATAATTACATATATAAATGTAAACATAAGATTTTAAAAATTACCCGGACATTGATGACCTAAAACTAACACAAAATTACTAACACAAAATTCACTTGATGGGGTTTTGTATTAATACGAAATTTTATTTGTGTCGTATGATGTGTTAGATCTGCATGTAAAAAAACATTTAGTAAATAAAACATAAACATATAATCGTTGAGTATCCCAAATTAATACAATGTAAGCAAGTAATAATTAAAAATACTAATTAAAACATAGGATTTTAAAAATTAAGCTAAAAATTACCCGACCATTGATGACCCAAAATTACCACAAAATTACTAACACAAAATGCGCTTGATGGGGTTTTTTTTATTGATACCAAATTTTGTTTGTGTCGTATGATGTGTCAATTTATAGTGGTAGGTATCACAAATTTTAATTCAAATATAATCGACGAACAATTTGTATTTCTTATCATAAATACTATCAAAATTTATTTTATAATGACAGGTATCAACTTTATTATAAGCATTTATCAATTAAATATTTTTTAGTATATTTTTTTTGGATTTCTTATACTCGTAGTATTGAATTAAAAAATTTATCTTTTCCTATATTTTTACTGTATTTTTTTTCATTAAAATATTTTAATTCGTGGATTATAATCTACGTGGCATTAAAATTTTAGATATATCAAATATAATTCGTTACTTTTATCTAGGTGGCGACATAATTTTAATTCAAAATAAAATACAAATCTTTCTTCTTATTGGTCGAAATAAGTATATTTCTTACGTGGCGCTCCGAATGCTCTCCAAAAATTCCTACTTTATATATATATATATATATATATATATATATATATATATATATATATATATATATATTAGATTAGATTATCAATATCAATTTTTTTTCTCCAACTTTTATCATTTGACAATAAAATTTATTTTAATTAAAAAAAAATCATTTTGGTAGCATACTTTGATAATCTTAAAATTAGATAAAGTTTATAAGAACAAAATCATTTTATTATAGTATAAATAATATACATTGGAAAATTAAATCTAATTACTCTAAATATTTATGTGATTATTTAAAAAATAAAAACCTCTGCTACTCACTAAAAATATATTTTAAAAAGTTGATTACGGAATACTAATTATCTTAAAGTAAAATAAAACCAATTAGTATTATGCTGGTCAAAGTGTGTCAACAATTTAAGAATAAATGTATATGTGTTCGTATATGGGTACTAACCTAAGCTAATATTTTAATTTTCTTATATAAAACTACCTTACAACTTCTAAATTTTTATTAATATATATATATATATATATATATATATATATAATCCAATTCAATAACCTTTACATATTTGGTATTGGTATAAACTAAAATTCAAGTTATTTTGTTACAATTAATTTTTTTGAATAAGTTATTGTTGAATTAACACCATTATTTATAATTTATTTGTTGTAAAATTAAATTTATTTATGACCGTGCATGGCACGGGACTTAACCTAATTTATTATTAATATCAAATATGCAAATGCGTATTTTTTTTTTTACAATATAAGGATGGCGTATGTTACGGAGTATTACCTTTGATGTAATACTATAGGCTAATTATTTGTACTTCTATGGTAAGATGTAAAGCTAATTGCTGGCTATGTCTTGTCACATGGATGCATGATATAGTGGACTCTTCGCTAACAAAGACGTCTGCTTGAATGAGCTAGTAAGGCCTTGTTTAGTTCAACTTATTTTTACTTATTTCAGAAATAATAAGTTCAGAATAAATCAGATCAGAAAAAATAAGTTTATATCAGATCATCGTTTTATGTTCAATTTTTTATCGCTAAATATCTTTAATTTTGTAATGAAAATCACATATTAATAAAATACACATTATTACGAATCTAACAAGATCCCACTTGATATATTTCTTCCTTACAGATTATCGTACATTTAAAGTCAAAGGTTGGTCAAATTAGACAATAAGATCAGACCAGATCAGATAAATTTAGATAAGCAAAAATAAGGTGAACCAAACAGGGCCTAAGTAGTTAGCTTCAAACCTTTATATACATGTGCAATAATGTCTAAGCCTCTTTTCCTTTTTAGAACATTTGAGGACGCTTAAAATATGACAACAATAGCTTCATTTAATACTTGAGATGTAAAATCCTTAGTATGGTGGCAAAAAGTTGAATTTGGACTAATCCTCCTAAATCTAAATCAATTTTGCAATAGTCTTATTGAGTAAGAAAAAAAAAATCAATAGTTTAATTACTCCACGATAATAGTGCAATTAAGCCAAATCAATGAGCCTTTGAGGTTGTGGTAGGTCTTAGTGTTTTATGAATCATGATAGACCACTTATAATTGAATACACATCACCTTCATTTCTAATTTCTTTGTTTGTAATTTAAATATGGTTAGAAGATTATTTGAGAAAATCATAGTGTTGTTTATACCTTTTTTTTCCAAGTAAATTGTGTGAGTGTTACAAGTTGGATATTATTGATAGTGTCTTAATTCTATTACTATTATGATCTAGTTATTGATTATTATTATTTGTTTCAAACAAGATGATTTTGTTACTCCAAAGAGGAATTAATCTACACAACCACAAAGAGAATTTAGTTCATACTTGATTTTTATTTTATTAA